CGGAGAACATTGCCGTGTACATCGTGCTAGGAACATTGTGATCCCTGACGGGGGACGCGTTTTCCCTGTCGGAGAAGATCTTCTACGACATCGCAATCCAAAAGCACGCAATTTAATCTTTTTCCAAACATCCCGACCCGTGGGGGGGCCAGCACCTGCAGCGAAGCCCATGCCGATTCCGCAGTCACATCGCAGACCCAATGTTGCATCTCCCAGGCCTTGTGGATCCGTGGCCCTTGCAGTTGCTCTCGCGATCGCAAAGAGTTCTTCTTCTGCCATGCCATGTGTCGCCGAGCAGAACTTGCAGGCGACTGCGCCTGCCGATGTCGAGGTCGATGCGAACGACGTCCTCCGCCTCGATGCGTATATGGCCGCACCTGCCGTTGACCCTGACGTTCAAGTGCCCGTGGAGACACCTGCGCCCTCGCAGGATGCGAACCCACCGATTCCGGCACAACAGAACGCCCAGGATATTCAGATCAGCATCGACTGGTGGAAGGTCGCGCAAGATTGCAAGAAGGACTATTTTGAACAGCTCGTTAAGGACTTCCTTGGGGGTACCTGGGGCCGCGCGCCATGTTTCGGAGACATCCGCTTCGGTGACTTCATCTACGCGCGTCTTTTTGGCACGTCTCGATGCAGAGCCGTTGTCTTCCCATACCCTACCACCAGACAGAGGGCCCTCATTTTGAAAAAGGGCCAGATATTCGGTCCCGTCATCGACGTCGAGCACAGAGGACCGTACGTCATTGTTTGGATCCCGCTTCGTGGCCATGGCCCCTACTGGGTCGACGTTTGGTACTGTGACCACGGCAATAAACAATGCGGCTTCAGATTCGCGGTACCCTTTCGTTCCGATCTCCTGCAGGAGACGCGCGATCACTTTCGCGCTGACGATGGCGCTACCGTTGATGCGCCGGTGGGAACACCTGCAACCCGCGACAGAGACGTCACCATCAAGTACGATGACGATCGAGCCGTCCGAGACCATGAGAAAAAAGACAATGGCCCCGATCCCGATAGTCGAGGAGATCCAAGCAGTCTTTGGAGATCTATGGGAAGAATCACTTGCAACCATCAAGAAATGGTCGTGAGAGATGCCGCACTGGACGATTGTTGAACCAATTACTCTGCGAAGTTGAGCAGGTATGGATTGTGAAATGCGAAGATGACAAATACCACTACCTCAGCCACCTCGTCATCAAGTTTCGTTTCAACATTGATTCACCATGCTATCATATGAAGTTTGACCCGCACAGTCCATGCGCCCTGCAGTTGCCCGACGTCTGCGGACGCAACTAGTCCAGTCGTGCGTTGATGAGGACCATGAGCTATCAATATGACGACGAGTTTGTACTCCTGCACTGGATTCCATACCTATGAGCCATCATCGCAGAAGACGCCACTCAGCGCCTGGTGGAGACACCGCTAGACGACACTCATGATAACCGTCCCGCTCTCGAGTCTCTGCGCAACGTATGGGCAGATGCTGTGGTGGCGGATGCGAAATGCGAGAGTTATTTGGGCGACTCGATGGAGCTAAACAAGATAGACACCAGTTCGCCGAAGCCCGATATCTTCAGCTCACAGGCTGCCGGTTTCCCGGAACCTCCCAGTTCCCCAGGTCTTCGCCCTGATCCAGGTAGCACAGCGTCCGTTGCTGCTCCGACCCAGGAACAAATACTTACAGCCCTGCGGACATATTCTGACGACAATCTGGGGGGCGCAGAAGGACGAGGAGGAGGCCGAGCTCCTCGCCGAGGCAGAACAGCTCATGGCTGAGCATCATGGCACGGCCTCAGCTCACCAATCTCGTGAGACCATTTCGGCGGGTGACCTCGCTGATCCGATGACCGGCAAGGGATTGGAATCGCTGGCCGCCGATCTTGCCGCCGATCGCGCTCATTTGATCCCAGATCGTGCTCTGCGTGATCTCGGTCGATTCTTGAGCGTCGGTGGTAACGCCCGCATCCGCGTCAGAGAGCTCATTGAGGAAGGCGCCAGGGATTTCCAGAGTGAAAGGCGCCGCTGCGAGAGCTGCTACCGTGATCTCCCCGATAACTCCGATGGTAACACCTGCGACGTGCGCCGAGTGTCGCAGCGATTCGGAGAGACGGGAGTGGCTCAGATCGAGTTCCTCGCCAACGTTCATACGTGGACTCGGAACAATTCGAACGCCCAAATCGTCAGACATATCATGCGCGTGGACGTTGACATTCGTTTCCAAGGCGCGCGCTCCGATGAAGCGGGAGTGGGGGATTTCTTTCGCAAGCAGGCTGTAGAAACAGAGAAGCGTCGCGCCAAATGGCTTGCTGCTGGCTCACCTTCCGCAGTGGCTTGCAGACTGGGCGGCGCAGGTGCGGATGACCTGGGTGAGGGCGCGGTTCTATACCATCCGTGTGTTGATGTGGTGCAGAGGTTCCAAGAATGCCCGCTCTTCCACGCTCGGATGACTGGCGGAGGGGGGGCCAATCGTAAGCCGCCGTTCGCGCTCGAGGACATGCGCCTCGCTTTGCAAATTCTTCGTGGAACCGCGGGGCAGGGATTCGCAGGCCGCCGGAGACAGGCCCCTGGAGCACTCGGCCGAGGTGAGCGTTTCGTTCCCTCCGGGAGAGGACGGGGCCCGATGAGCCGCGTTGCGCTGGCTGACCTTCGCGGGCAGGCCCCGAAAGGCGCCGTGAAATTCAGAGGGGGCGCTGGTCTTGCCTCCGTCGCCGACCCCATTCGCGCCCCGCCCCCTGCACCTCCGCCCCCGCGCCGCAGTGCCCCCTCCGCGGCCGCGGCATCATCCGGCGGCCTTGCCCGCGGCGCCAGCTGGACTGGAGACGGCGGCTCCGCGTCGAGCGCGCGGAGACCGACTGCGCTTCCGAGGCGGGACCCGCGGGGGGCGGAGCACGGGGCGCGCGACCGCAGTGCCGCGTGCCAGCGCCGCATGCAAACATCCTGGCGCCACTGTGTCGAACGCTGCCAGAGCGACGCGTGCCGCCGCTGGTCCTATTGCCTGAACAAGTGGGTTGCATCGATGAGAGTGACTGTGAATACATTTGGCTGGATCGCAACAGTGCGCGTGCGATTGGATGGTTGGACGAGCGCGGCAATCGCGTCAGGGGCAATCGATATTGCCATTTCTAGTGACATGAATTTGACGATAACTGCGCTACCGAGACTATGATTGTTTCTGATAATTCTTATGACATGCTGATCCGGATGTACCACTGGCTATACATTATGATATGTATCCTGTGATTTTGTTATCTCACATGATCGGAGATTTACTGTGTGCTCCATCTCACTTTCATTCCATTTGCATCTTGACAGTTCTGACCTTCGTGTGCTACAGTTTGGCACTTAGGGCATAAACGCACCCGGGCAGGTCGCCCGCCAACTATATTAGAGAAATTGTCACAAGTCTTTGTCCATGGGAAGTCGGAAGACACAGGGTACGACGCATGCAAGTCATGCTTCTCATGATATTTGCGATGCAATTTTCGTCATCGTTTACGTTTTCACATTGACCGTTCGTTCTTTCTTTTTTTTTGCGGCGCCGCACAACATCGATTTTACATTCCATAGTTGTTCAGTTGTTGTCGCAACTTCGACCTTAATGCTGAGTGAATTCGGGCCTGGAGAGCCCTGGATCTATTTTTGGGCCTCGAGAGCCCCGTGATTGAGAGGTCTTTTAGTTTGATCATGTTGTCGTCACAACTCTGGTCCATTACTTTGCGCACTAGTCACTGTGCGCGGGTGGATACACCTGCATCGTTGCACGCAGTAATGTTCTTCATTTGATCTCTTTTCCCCTGATCTTCCAGCGTTGTCACCCGTGGTGACGGGGAGTTTTCCAGGTGTGCCGAAGCATTTCTTGGGGGCGCACCCTGGGCCCGCGAAAGAAGGGTAGACTCCCCTAAGTACCCTGCGTGGCGGGGTTGGCCCTCTTTCTACTTCCCTAGCCGATACGGCCTCGTTTGGAGGTGCGGTAAATATGACGGTGCTTTGAGTGGACCTCACACGTGTGTTCTAGGGCCCCGCCGCTGTCTCCCGTGGGCCCGAGGCCATCGTGGAGCTGGTGGGACTCAGGACGGTGTGTGTGTGTGTGTGTGTGTGTGTGCGTGTGTGTGTCAGTGTGTGTGTGTGTGTGTGTGTATGTGTTTTTTTTTTTTGTGTGTGTGTGAACTCCGCTCATATGACCCTTACATCGTCATATGCCGCTAACGTATCGGCTCATGTATATGTGCACACACCGCGCTGCTGTCCGCGCGGCGCCTTGGAAAAGGAGTAGCTGACCTCTTCTTCTCTAACCTTTACCTACAGGTATACGTATAGGATCGACCCTTCGGTCGTATCCTTATGCGCACATCTTGGGGCCGTCTTGGGGCCCTCTTGGGCGCCTGTCTTGGGCCGTCTGGGGGCTCTCTTTAGGGCCTCTCGGGCCGTCTTGGGGCGGTCTTGGGAGCCTTTGGGGCCATCTTGGAGCGTCGGAAAGCCGAAAAGGCGAGAGCGCCGAAATCCTTCAAAAACGTATGGCAAATCACAAATGTGTACCTCTGGGGGCCCTCTTGGGAAGTCTGTTGGAGGATGCTTAGGGCTTCTTGCAAGCTTCTTGGGCCGTCTGGAGGCAATTTTGGGGTCTTGGATTGGTTGTTCGGTGACTCGGAGCCCTCTTGGACTGTCCTGGGGGCCTCTTGGGGCTCTCTTGGCGCGCTCTGGGGGGCCTGAAGGGCCGTGCCCAGGAGGAAAGCCATTTCCGAGTAAAGGTTCGCCGGGGATCAATCGGGTTACTTTGGGTCCGGGGATCCCCAGGGGCGGCCTCGCGCGCGCGAGCCAGAAGACTTCTAAATTAGGCGCCGAAGATCTTAGCACGCCACTGGCCCGTTGGGCTGGCGAATTGATAAGCACACTCACAGACGCACGCACACGCACACACACACACACACACACACGCACGCAGATTCACACGCAGACGTACAAACACAAGCACATAACACACACACATAAACACACATTACTGACTCAAACCAGTTTGGCTCAAGCCCAAGTGCCATGTCGTTCTGGATAGTCTCAAGAAGTCGTTATGTCCCTCGAAGCGTCGATCAAGAACTGCGGCCAGACAAAACAATGGAGCGCCGCACTGCGGATGCTCCGCGAAGGAATTCAATTTGGTTTGCAACTCGTCCCAAGCCACTATGTTGCGATTGTCAGCGCCTGCAGAAAAGGCGGGCAATGGCAACACGCATTGTCAGTGTTCAGTGAGATGTTGGAGGCGAAGCTGGAGCCCGACGTCATCTCTTCTACAATGCAGGGCTCCGCGCGTGCGAGAAGGTCCTTTGTCTTCAGTGCCTCCCTGGGCCTTCAGATGCCCCCCAAAACGGCCTCGGGATGGCTCCGAGAGGCTCTAGGCGGCGCCAAGACGGCCTCAAAGCACCTTTGGGAGCCCCAAGACAGCCTTTGAGGCCCCCAAGGCAGGCCAGGAGGCTCCCAAGACGGCCCAGGAGGGCCTCCAGGAAAGCACCAAAAGGCCCAAATCGTCCCATTCCCGGTGGGAAGCGCAAATATTCAGTATGTTCAGTTTTTTCGTCCTCGCAGCGTCCAAAACGGCTATACAGGTCCCCCACGTCGCCCCAAACGCGCCCAGAGGCCCCCAAAGGGCCCCACACGGCCCCGGGACGGCTCCAGAGGCGCCCGAGACGGCCCAGGACGCACCCAAGACAGCCCCAAGAGCAGCTGAGAATAAGACGGCCTCAGAGCACCCTTGGGAGCACCAAGACAGCCCCAGAGGCCCCCAAGGCAGGCCAGGAGGCTCCCAAGACGGCCCAGGAGGGCCTCCAGAAGAGCCCCAAAAGGCCCAAATCGTTCATCCCCGACGGGAAACGTACATGTTCAATATATCTTGCTTTTTCGTCCTCGCAGCGTCCAAGACGACTATACGGGACGGGCCCCCCAGCTCGCCCCAAGACGCGCCCAGACGCCCCCAGGAGGGCCCCCAAACGGCCCCACACGGCCCGGGGACGGCTCCAGAGGCGCTCAAGACGCACCCAAGACAGCCCCAAGAGCAGCTAATAATGGCCCAAGACGGCCCCACCGCCCCGTCTCCAAGACGGCTGTAGAGGACCCCACCGCCCCGTCTCCAAGCCTTCCCGTTTGGACAGTCTCCAAGACGGTTTCTGGGTCGTCCAGGACGGCTCCAGAGGCGCCCGAGATGGCTCAAATTATCCCGGCAAAGCAACCTAACAGCGATGTGTAGAAGCATATCTGAAAGCATTCCCCTTAAGATTCAGATGAAAATCCAGTTGTCGAATTCTGCTGTTCTCGCAGTCGTAGTCGCATTCGCGATGACAGTCGCAGCGGCAACGGCAGTCGCAGTCACAGCCTCAGCCTCAGCCTGCCTCCTCCTCCTCCTCTTTCTCCTGCTCCTCCTCCTCCTCCTCCTCCTCTTCCTCCTGCTCGTCCTCGTTCTCGTCCTCCTCGTCTTGCTCGTCCTCCTCCTCCTGGTGCTCTCCTCCTCCTCCTCCTCTCTCCTCCTCCTCCTGGTGGTCCTCGTTCTCCTCCTCCTGGTGCTCTCCCCCCCCCTCCTCCTCCCTCTCCTCCTCCTCCTCCTCCTCGTCCTCCTCCTCCTCTTCCTCCTCCTCCTCCTCCTCCTCCTCCTCCTCCTGGTAGTCCTCCCCCTCCCCTCCTCCTCCTCCTCCTCCTCCTCCTGGTCGTCCTCGTTCTCGTCCTCCTCGTCTTGCTCGTCCTCCTCCTCCTGGTGTCCTCCTCCTCCTCCTCCTCCTCCTCCTCCTCCTCCTCCTCCTCCTCCTCCTCCTGGTGGTCCTCGTTCTCCTCCTCCTGGTACTCTCCCCCCCCCTCCTCCTCCTCCTCCTCGTCCTCGTCCTCCTCCTCCTCCTCCTCCTCTCCTCCTCCTCCTCCTCCTCCTCCTCCTCCTCCTCCTCCTCCTCCTGGTACTCCTCCCCCTCCCCTCCTCCTCCTCCTCCTCCTCCTCTTCCTGGTCGTCCTCCTCCTCCTGGTCGTCCTCCTCCTCCTGCTCGTCCTCCTCCTCCTCCTGCTCGTCCTTCTTCTCCTGCTCCTCCTGCTCCTCGTCCTGCTCCTGCTCGTCCTCGTCCTCCTGGTCTTGCTCGTCCTCCTCCTCGTCGTGCTCTTGCCCCTGCTGAAAATGTGGCCCAGGAATGGGAGTTCTGGGAAGTCGAAGAGCACGAAGTTGCCTACAGTTGGCTACGGGCATTCAAAATGTGGCCCGGGAATGGAGTTCTGGGAACTCGAAGAGCACGAAGTGGCCTACAGTTGGCTCCGGGCATTCAAAATGTGGCCCGGGAATGGAGTTCTGGGAACTCGAAGAGCACGAAGTGGCCTACAGTTGGCTCCGGGCATCCAAAATGTGGCCCGGGAATGGCGTTCTGGGAACTCGAAGAGCACGAAGTGTGTGACTGTTGCATCCGGTTATTCAGAATGTGGCCCGGGAATGGCGTTCTGGGATCTCGAAGAGCACGAAGTGTGTGACTGTTGCATCCGGGTATTCAGAATGTGGCCTGGGAATGGAGTTCTGGGAAGTCGAAGAGCACGAAGTGTGTGACTGTTGGTGAAAAACGAGCCCGGCACCCTGCCGCCCGGCAACTCCCCAACACCTGCCCGGACCCCCCTGTGGAGTGATCTGTGAGCTCTTTTGAGTCAACTAGAAACCTATCAGTCTACGCTGTTAGGTAAAAACACCAAAGACAGCCCCAAGAGCGCCCAATATTGTCCCAAGATGGCCCCAAGACTGTCCCAAGATGTTTCGAGAGGCGCCCAAGACGGCCCCACATCGCCCCAAGGCGGCCCAAGACGCACTCCGAGAGACTCCCAGGAGGACGAAAAGAGGCCCCCCAAGCGACCCCAAAGAGGCCTTGGATGCTTCTCGCTTGGAGAGCGTCGATCTTCCAGCATCATCTTGGGGGCTTCTTGGACCCTCTGGGAGCCATCTCTGCGCTATTTGGTGACGTCTTGGGGCGGTGCGCTTGAAAGGTCGATTCGTGTCCTCGCACTGGGGCCCGTCTTAGGGAGTCCCGTCTCGCCGCCCTCTTGCGGGCCTCCTAGGCCGTGCCCACTGGCCCCATTGTCACCACACTACCAGATGAAATTATCATTCGGCCCAAATGATCACACCTACCCTCCCCGCAGAAGCTCTGATGAACACAGACTGCGGCGTCAGAAACAGCTTCTGTCCACACCATGTCATGCCTACATGGGTGTGCTTCCACTGACACCGCCTCCACCACCGCGTTCCTGCCTTCAGGCCTGCTTGCCTGCATCCCTCGCCCATCTCCCCCTCCAGCGGCCACCTCTTCCATCCACGCCGTCCCCTCCAACCCTTACCCGCGAGGCCCCAGAGACGCTCCACTTCCACGGCAATTTCCGCGGGCAATTCCGGGCCGGCCATTGCCATGCCATGTTCCATTTCCACGTCCATGCCATTGCGGGCAATTTCCGCGGCCGGAAGGCCGCGGGTCAGCCCTAGTCTCTTCTACAATGCAGCGATCTTTGCGTGCCAGAAGGTCCTCTGTCTTGAAAGGTCAGCCGGGCTCTCCAGGCCGCCCTGCGAGCCCCCCGGCCGCTCCGAGACGGCTCAGAGACAGCCACGAGGGCGCCCAGACAGACCAAGAGGGACCCAACCGAGCCCCAGGTCGGCCCCAGAGGCCCCCAAGGCAGGCCAGGAGGCTCCCAAGGCGGCCCAGGAGGACCCCCAGGAGGGACCCAAGAGGTACAAATTGTCCCCTGTCCTGGTGAAAACGTGCATTTTTGATATGCTCGCTCTTTTCGTCTTCACCGCGTCCAAGACGGCTGTACAGGCCTTCCCGATCGCCCCAAGACGCCCCCAGAGCACTTCAGGAGGGCCCCCAAACGGCCCGAGGCGGCCCCGCGACGGCTCCAGAGACGCCCTAGACGGCCCCAGAGGCAACCAAGACAGCCCCAAGAGCGGTCAATAACGGCCCAAGACGGCCCCAAGACGGTCCGAGCTGCGCCCAAGACGGCCCCACACGGCCCCGAGACGGCCCAAGAGGCACTTCAGACGGCCCAAGAGGGACCCAAGGGATTCCCGGGAGGCCGGAAAGAGGCCCCCAAACGGCCCCCGAGAGGCCCCAAGTGGCTTCCACCTCCGCCTAAGAGGCTTCCACCTCCCAACCAGACGGCCCCTGAGAGGCCCCAAGAGGCCCCAGCGTCGTCTCTGCTACAATGCCCCGGGCCTGCGCGTGCCGAAAAATTTGAGCCCGACGCCATCCCTACTACATTGCAGACGTACGCGCGTACGAGAGGGGCGGGGGTCGGGGCGCGGCTGCGAGCCCCAGCAGGCCCCGGCGCGCTTCCAGGAGGCCCAAGAGCGCTTCGAGAGGACCCCGGGGCCCCTCCAGGGCGGCCCGAGACGGTCCAAGAGGGCCTCCGAGACGGTCCAAGAGCGCTCGCAGACGCCCAAATTAGCCCCCGGACGGCCCAAGAGGCTCCCAAAATGCTCCAGGTGGGCTCCAAGAGGAGCCTTCAGAGAGCCCGCACAAGCACACATCGTCCGAACTCCCAGTGGAAGACGTGCTTCTTAGCAATTCCCGTGCTTTTTCGTTCTCAAAGCGTCCGAGAGGACACTTCACGCCCCCAAGATCGGCCCAGGACGCCTCAGGAGCGCCCCTATGAGGGCCCCAAGACTGCCCACGTCGGCCCCTGGACGGCCCCATACGGCCCCACGACCGCTCCTGAGGTGCCCAGGACGGCCCAAGGGTCGCCCAAGGCAGCCCCAAGAAGAGACCGTCTCAAGACGGTCCCAAGTCGGCCCCAGAGGCGTCCAAGACGGCCTCGGACAGCCGCAGGACGGCCCAGGGGGCACCCAAGACGGCCCAAGAGGGCCCACAGGAGGCCGCAAGACGGTCCAAGGGGGCCCCCAAAGGCCCCCAGGAGGCAGAAAGGAGGTAGAGAAGAAACCCCGAGAGGCCCCCAAACGGTTCCCAAGGAGAAGGAAGCGCCCGCCATCAGTGGCCGCATAGGGAGCGTTGCCTTCCTCCGTGGGTGCGGGCGCGAGCGAAAGAGCGCCGAAGAATGAACAGCAACATGGGCGCTACTTCCCTTTACTGTTGCCTCCCAGCTCCAGGGCGCCCTTCGCCGCTGCCGCCCAAGTGAGGCGAGATACGCCAGAGGCCTCCAGGAAGCGCAGTCCCCCACACAGTCTGATCCCAGAGAGGCGCGGATACGGCGCCCAAAAGTACGTGGCTCCCTGCGCGTCCACAGTGAGCCTCCATCCACAGTCCACCGTGCGACATTCCGAGTGCCCTGGGGCCGCATCAATGTCTCCTGTGGGCACGAAACAGAGCAGCAGCGGCGTCACACAGCAGCAGCAAGCAGCGGCAGGCAGCGGGTAGAAGCACGCACCAAGCGGAATTGGGCATCAGCAGCAACCTGCAGCCATAAGCAGCAAGAACACGCAGCAGCGGTCTCTAGCGCCACTAACATCACGCAAAAGCGGCAGCAAGCAGCAGCACGCATTAGCATGCGCGGAATGTGAGGTGGGGCCCCACGATGAGATGCCAGTTCGTGCAGATTTCGTGCACGGAGTCCACAGGTCAGTCCTACCGACGTCGCCAGCCTCCTTCCAGTGCCCACAACCCACGACGACGCCGACCACCACTTCCACGACAACGACGCCGACTACGACAGGTACGATGGGTACGACGGCTGCCTCGCGGCGGCGACGACAACGACGCCGACGATGACGGCGACGACGGCGGCCCCGCGACGGCCAAGCTGGCGGAGCGCTGCTAGAGCTCGGACACGAATGCGCGGTCTCGCTGCCGCCGCCCCGGCCGCCGCCGTGCTTGTAGGTTTCTGGCAAAATCTCCGCCGTTCCTCCGAGAACTATTCCAGAAAGATGTCGTGGACGGAGTCCACGGGTCAGCCTTAGTCTCTCCTACATGCCCAGTGGACCTTCGTGCGAGAATGGTTCACAGGGCCTCGTGTGCACAAAATCGCTTCGTGTGCCACCACGGGGCCGAATTGCTCAGGCTGGTCCCAGAAGCGCTCCAGAGGGGTTGCCAGACCGTCCAAGAGCGCTCCAAGACGGCCTCAGTGGGTCCCCAGACGCCGCAAAGACGCCCCAAGAGGGCCCCGAGCGCACGCCAAAGAGGCACAAATCGTCAAATCCCTATGGGAAAACGTATATTTTCAGCATGCCCGCCTTGTGTGCTCCTCAGCGGCCCAGGACACGCCAAGAGGCCTCCCAAATCGCCCCAAGAAGACGCCAGCGGCCCCTGAGAGGGCTCCAAGACGGCCCACGAGAGCCCCAAGACGACGCCAGAGAGCCCCGAAACGGCTTCACAGAACCCCAAGACGGCCCCAAGAGAGCTCCGAGGGGGCCCCAAGAGGCTCCCAAGACGGCCTCAGGCAGCCTCAAGAGACTCAAGAGCTTCAGAATGCACAAAATCGCCCCTTTACGGCGCCACCTCGGGGCCGAATCGCTCAGGCCGCTCCAGAGGGGTTGCCAGACCGTCCAAGAGCGCTCCAAGACGGCCTCAGTGGGTCCCCAGACGGCCCACGAGGGCCCGAAGCCTTCCGGGGGGGGGCTCCACGACGATCCAAGAGGCCGCAAAGACGCCCCAAGAGGGCCCCGAGCGCACGCCAAAGAGGCACAAATCGTGAAATCCCTATGGGAAAACGTATATTTTCAGCATGCCCGCCTTGTGTGCTCCTCAGCGGCCCAGGACACGCCAAGAGGCCTCCCAAATCGCCCCAAGAAGACGCCAGCGGCCCCTGAGAGGGCTCCAAGACGGCCCACGAGAGCCCCAAGACGGCGCCAGAGAGCCCCGAAACGGCTTCACAGAACCCCAAGACGGCCCCACGAGAGCTCCGAGGGGGCCCCAAGAGGCTCCCAAGACGGCCTCAGGCAGCCTCAAGGGAGCTCCAAGACAGTCCAAGGCCTCCCGGACGCCCCGCGACGGCCCAAAAAACCCTCAAACGTCTCAAAACGCTTCTGGAGCGGCCGACAAAGCTCCATAATGGCCCGAAAAAGACCCCACAAGGGCCACCCAGCAGGCCCAGAGACGCCCACTAAAAGAGCGATCGGTGAAGTACAAAGCTCTTCTTACCAAGGCTCCCAAGAACGAGACGCACCTTCCGACCTCTGACACAGAAGCACGCACGCACAGCACGCAATCACAATAGATTTCCTGGGCTGTTTCCCGGAAGAGGCTCGGGGGGACAGCCCGGGAACGGCCCCAGAGGCGCCCAACAAAAACTTCAAGAGAAAAGGCCCCCAGGAGGCCGCAAGACGGCCCAAGAGGGCCCCAAGAGGCCCCTAGGAGGCCGCAAGACAGCCAACGAGGCCCCAACAGGCCCCCAGGAGCTCGAAAAGAAACCCCGAGAGGCCCACTGACCGTTCCCAAGGAGACGGCAGCGCCCGCCATCAGGCTTCGAAGAGGCAACCGGCAAAAAGTCATCAGAGCCCTCTGGGTGACTTTTTTCAAGGCCCTGGGTGTTTTCAAGATTGACAAGCGGCGAGACGTACACCGCAGACCCACCATAGCCGTCTGTGACGCTCCGAAGGCTGTCTAGGCGGAGGTAGAGCGGAAGGTGGACGAAGAGAAGGAAGCGGTCCAAGAAGGTCTCCGAGACGGCCCAAGACCGCTCGAAGACGCTCCAGACGAGCCGCGGCAAACGAAATCATTGATTCTTTTATGGTTTCTGAAAGATTTCCACCTTCTAGCCATTTCGAGCGAAGTCAGGCCCAAGACGGCCTTTTCGAGCCAAGACTGGCCCAAGATGACGTGGACGAAGTCCACGGGTTCGCCCTAGTCTACACTACAATGCAGGGCCCCGCGCGTGCGAGAAAGGCGATTCGGACCAAAATGGCGTAGCAGGCCCCTGCGAGCCCCAGCAGGCCCTGGCGCGCTCCGAGACGCTCCAAGATGGCCCAAGAGCGCTCCGAGACGCCCCTGGAGGCCTTCACGAGGGCCCCAAGGCGGCCCCAGACGGTCCAAGAGGGCCTCCGAAAAGGTCCAAGAGCGCTCCAAGACGTCCAAGATGGCCTCCCGACGGCCCAAGAGAGCTCGAACAAGGGAAAATCGTACCAATCCCGAGGGAAAACTTGCATTTTTGCAATTCCCGCGCTTTGCGTCCGCAACGCGTCCAAGACGGCCATACAGGCCCCCAAGATTGCCCCAAGACGCCCCAAGAGGGCCTCCAGGGAGCCCCAGAACGGTCCCAGGCGGCCCAAGAGGCGGCCAGGACAGCCCAAGAGGGCTCGAAGAGCGGCCCAAGACGGGCCCGAGACAGCCCTAGAGGCGCCCAAGACCACCCTAAACAGCTTGACACTGCCCAAGAGGCGCCCAAGACGGACCCAAGAGGCCCAAAGGAGGCCTCCAAGTCCTTCCAAGAGACGTCCAAGATGACTCAGAAGCAAAATTCGCCCCAATCCCGAGGGAAGACGCACAATTTTAACATAGATCGCTCCAAGACGCCCTAAGAGGGCTTCCAGGGGCCCCAGGACGGTTCAAGGCGGCCCCAGGACAGCCCAAGAGGCGCCAAGTGCAGCCCAAGAGGGCTCGAAGAGCGGCGCAAGACGGGCCCGAGGCAGCCCCAGAGGCGACCAAGACCGCCCTACATAAACGGCCTAAGACGGCCCACGAGGCGCCCAAGACGGCCCCAAGAGGCCTCCAAGAGGCCCAAAGGAAGCTTCCAAGCCCTACCAAGAGACATCCAAGAGTGCTTCGCCCCAAACCCTGGGAAACCGCACAATTTTAACATATTCGCTTTCCTCGTGTCCACGGCGCCCACGACGGCCATGCAGGCCCCCAAGGTCGCCCCAAGAGGGCCTCCAGGGGGCCCCAGAACGGTCCCGGGCGGCCCCAGGACAGCCCAAGAGGCGGCCAGGACAGCCCAAGAGGGCTAGAAGAGGACGGACCCGAGGCCGCCCCACAGGCGCCCAAGACCGCCCTAAGCGGCCTAAGACGGCCCAAGAGGCGCCCAAGACCGCCCTAAGCGGCCCCCCCCCAAGAGGTCAAAGGAGGCCTCCGAGCCCTTCTAAGAGACGTCCAAGAGGGCTCCCAGAAGCAAAAGTCGCCCCAAAGCGTGGGAGAACGCACAATTTGAACATATACGTTTTCCTCGTGTCCACGGTGCCCACGGCGGCCATACAGGCCATACGAAAGCGCGGTCTCGTTGCCGCCGCCCCCGCCGCCGCCGTGCTTATAGGTTTTCGGCAACATATTCGCCGTTCCTCCGAGAACCATTCCTGAAAGATGTCGTGGACGGAGTCCACGGGTCAGCCCTAGTCTCTCCTACAACGCTGGGATCAGCGCGTGCGAAAAGGGCGAGCAGTGGCAGCGGGCGCTGGCGCTGCTGAGCGAGATGCGGGAGGGGAAGCTGGAGCCCGACGTCATCCGTACTGCAATTCCGGGCGCAGCGCCCGCGAAGAAGAGACAAGCAGTGGCAGCGCCCCCGGGCCGCCCAGAGAGCTCTGGGGCGCTCCTCGACGGCTTCAGGAGGCCCCTGGATCGCTCGCCGACGGCTCCAGGACCCCCAGATCGCCCCAAGACGGCCTCACAGACACCCACAAGGGCCGAAGCCGACTCGACCGAAGCCCCCTGACGGCCCCAAAAGGCCTCAGAGACGGCCCCCGAGGACCGCTTGGACGGCGCCAAGGGGCAAAACTTATCCGTTTTCCGAAGGTTTCGAAGGTTTTCCTGTTCCCGCCACTTCGGGACCACAACGGCCCAGGATGGCCCCAGGGGGGCTCGGTCCAAGAGGGCCCTAGGAGGGCCCCCAGACGGCCCGAGAAGGCCCGTAGACGGCCCAAGAGGGCCCTAAGACGGCCGAAGAGAGCTTCAAGTGACTCCCAAGTCAGCCCCAACCAGGCCCCAGACCCCGCCCGACTGGGCCCAACGTGACCTCCGAAACGGCCCGAGACCCCCAAGATGGCCCCAAGGCGCCCCCAGAAGGGCCCAAGATGCCGCCCAAGAGGGCCCAAAGCGACCTCCGAGACGGCCCGAGACCCCCAAGATGGCCCCAGGACCTCCCTGCGCGGCCCCCAACCGAGGCCCGCAAACGTGCCCCCCTCACTCTGACTGTGCCTGAAAACCCTTGTGTTTTTGCTGATCGTGCCTCGGCCCGGCGCGATTAGCAAAAACCCATATGTTTTCACGCTTCCAGGTCAGTGCACCCAGAGCTCTCCGATTGCTTTCCGGGGTGGCCCCCAGATGTGGCCTGTAAACGTCGGTCCCACGTGGCCCCCAAACGGGACCCCCAAAGGCGGCCCCCACACAAAGCCTCCAAAGGTCGCACCTACCGCCCCAGTAAGCGTGGCCCCCGAACGTCACCCCCACGCGTAGCCCCCAGGCGCCCCCAAACGTGGCCCCCACACAGCCCCCAACCATTGACCTCACACGTGAACGTCACATGTGCCTCCGAAGGTCGCCCCTACCGCCCAAGGGACGCCAGAGCTGTTCAACGTGGACGAGCTGGTTACCTACGGTGTGCGAGTCCCAGGCTCAGCACGCCGTGGATTTAATCCACGGGTTCACACTAGTCAGTTACAGCGCTGGGATCAGCGCGTGCGAAAAGGGCGAGCAGTGGCAGCGGGCGCTGGCGCTGTTGAGCGAGATGTGGAAGGCGAAGCTGGAGCCCAACGTCATCTATACTCTAACGCCGGGGGAGCCGCGTGCCAGAATGGCGGGGGACCCAGTGTGGTAAAATCGTCCTCGGGCTGGCCCCGGGCCGCCCCAGGCCGCCCAGGGAAGCCTCTAGACGGGCCAAGAGGGCCCCAAGATGCCCCCAAAACGGCCCAAGAGTGCCCCGAGACGCCCAATGATCGGGCCCAGACGCCCAAGATGGCCCAAAGACGGCCCAACAGGTCTCCAAGACGGCCCAAGAGGCCTCTCAAGAGGTTTCCGAGACAAAAATCGTTGAATTCCATGGGTTTTTCTATGTTTTTTCCCAATCCTCCTGTGAGTTGGGTCCTCGTTTTGAATTCGCAGCGCCGCGCTCCACTCCTCCTCCCCCCTTCTTTCCACGTCCCCCTCATCCTCTTCTCCCTTCTCCCCATCACCATGACCATCATCATCACCATCATCATCCCCACCACCATCACCACCACCATCATCGTCATCACCATCACAATCGCCACCACCATCATCATTCTTGTTACCGTCTCGACGCACCCCTCACACGTTTCGTGACCCCATAGGGAGCTCCACCGAAAGCTTCAGTGGCAGGGCCCGCATGTGTATTCGGGTCTACTTTGGCACACCCCTCACACATTTCGTGGCCCCAGAGGGAGCTCCACCGAAGGCCCCAGTGGCAGGGCCCGCATGCGTACTCGGGTCCACTTTGGCACACCCCTCACACGTTTCGTGGCCCCATAGGGAGCTCCACCGAAGGCCCAGTGGCAGGGCCCGCATGCGTACTCGGGTCCAGTTTGACACACCCCTCACACGCTTCGTGGCCCCATAGGGAGCTCCACCGAAAGTCTCAGTGCCACGCTTCGTGGCCCCATAGGGAGCTCCACCGAAAGTCTCAGTGCCAGGGCCCGCATGCGTACTCGGGTCCACCTTGGCACACCCCTCATACGTGTCGTGGCCCCATAGGGAGCTCCACCGAAGGCCCCAGTGGCAGGGCCCGCACGCGTATTCGGGTTTACTTTGGCACACCCCTCACACGTTTCGTGGCCCCAGAGGGAGCTCCAACGAAGGCCCCAGTGGCAGGGCCCGCGTGCGTACTCGGGTCCACTTTGGCACACCCATCACACGTTTCGTGGCCCCATAGGGAGCTCCACCAAAGGTCCCAGTGGCAGGGCCCGCATGCGTACTCGGGTCAACTTTGGCACACCCCTCACACGTTTCGTGGCCCCATAGGGAGCTCCACCGAAGGCCTCAGTGGCAGGGCCCGCATGCGTACTCGGGTCCAGTTTGACACACCCCTCACACGCTTCGTGGCCCCATAGGGAGCTCCACCGAAAGTCTCAGTGCCAGGGCCCGCATGCGTACTCGGGTCCACCTTGGCACACCCCTCACACGTGTCGTGGCCCCATAGGGAGCTCCACCGAAGGCCCCAGTGGCAGGGCCCGCATGCGTATTCGGGTTTACTTTGGCACACCCCTCACACGTTTCGTGGCCCCAGAGGGAGCTCCACCGAAGGCCCCAGTGGCAGGGCCCGCATGCGTACTCGGGTCCACTTTGGCACACCCCTCACACGTTTCGTGGCCCCATAGGGAGCTCCACCGAAGGCCCCAGTGGCAGGGCCCGCATGCGTACTCGGATCCACTTTGGCACACCCCTCACACGTTTTGTGGCTCCAATGGCAGTGCTCGCATTGTGACTCGTGTCCCTCCTTGCATGTCCCTTACGAGCATGGCGCAGGATCGCCCGCGCAGTCTAGCTCAGAGGTGAGGTCGCCCATCGGGCCCTCTGATCACTCAATGTTCATGACCACGAGCATGATGCACGATTACCGACGCGATTTGGCTCGGAGGTGAGGTGGCCCATCGGGCTCTCTGATCATTCCCGCTTCTTGACCAGCATGGCGCATGATCACCGACGCCCTCTGGCTCAGAGGTGAGGTTGCCCATCGGGCCCTCTGATCACTCCCGATTCTTGGCCACGAGCATGGCACGGAATCGCCGACGCGGTTCGCTGATGATGATGATGATGATGATGATGATGATGATGATGATGATGATGATGATGATGATGATGATGATGATGATGATGATGATGATGATGATGATGATGATGATGATGATGATGATGATGGGTAATGATGATGATCATGATTGCATGGCCGGCGCACAATCCAGCTCGGAGCAGAGAGAAGGAGCGGAGAGGAAAAATCGAGTGAACGGCGAGGCGGGTAGTCTGCCTGGCCTCAACCGCCACACGCATGTCTGCCATTGCTGGGGACACATACGTTCTTCGGAAAGAGTACGGAGGGACAAATCGAGTGAGCGGCGAGGCGAGTAGTCTGCCTGGCCTCAACCGCCACACGCATGTCTGCCATTGCTGGGGACACATACGTGCCTCGAGTCCTGTAGCCAGTGTCCTGCGAGTCTCCCGAATTCCGTCTGCAGACATATGTAACCCTCGCTCCGTCATCGCCCCTTTATAAAGTTTCCTACACTATTTGCACCCTGCGTTTGCGCAGGGGTTGGGTACGTCGCCAGGGTAATTTGCGGTCTCTTTGTCGGCTTCCCGACGCTCGAAGACCGCCCAAAAGGCCCCCAAGACCGCTCCAAAACGGCCGAAGAGGCCCCGAAGAGAGCTCCAAGACGGCCCAAGAGGCGCGCAGGAGAACCCAAAATGCCACCAAGAAGGCCTCAAGAGAGGCGCCCAAGAGAGGGACCACAGACTAAAATATCCAGCTATCCGCCCTCAGAAAGCCCCAGGAGACCCCAAGAGGCATCCAGGAAGCCCCACGGGCCCCCCGACGGGCCCCGGCAGACCCCCAAGAGGCTCCCAAGAGACTCCCAGAGGCTCCCAAACAGCTCCCAGGAGGCCCTACGAGCCTTCCGAATTGCTACCACGAGAGAGGTGTTCACGAGAGGCGAGAGGCATCTCTCAGACCCAAAGGAGCCGTCTTGGACGACACTGCGAGGGCCTTGGATGTTTGTCTTCTCGGAAGCTTCGTACGGCACAAGCAATCGTCAAGCAATCCAGCATGCAGTACACAGCCGTCTAGCAACACACCCACACTGTTCACGCTGGAAAACGTGGACGAAGTCCACGGGTCAACCCTAGTCTCTCCTACAACGCTGGGATCAGCGCGTGCGAGAAAGGCGAGCAGTGGCAGCGGGCGCTGGCACTGCTGAGGGAGATGCGGGAGGCGAAGCTGGAGCCCGACGTCATCTGTACTACAATGGCTGGCCCAGCGCTCGCGGAGGGGCCCATCGGTGGCAGCAGACCGGCCCCCTCCGGCGGCCCCTGCGAGCCCCAGCAGGCATCGGCGCGCTTCCAAGATGGCACCAGGAGGCCCCCAAGAGGGCCCCCAGACGGCCGAAGACGGCTCAAGAGGGTCTCCGAGACGCGCCCAGAGCGCTCGACAACGTTTGAGGCAGCCTCCAGACGGCCCACGAGACTTCCAAAACGCTCCAAGTGGGCTCCACGACGAGCCCTAAGAGAGGCCGAACACCGAAAAATCGTCCCATTCCCAAAGGGGAAAAGGTACATTTTGGCAGTTCCTGGGCTCGCCCTCTTGATGTGGGAGGCGAAGCTGGAGCCCGACGTCATCTCTCCTACAACGCTGGGATCAGCGCGTGCGAGAAGGGCGAGCAGTGGCAGCGGGCGCTGGCGCTGCTGAGCGAGATGTGGGAGGCGAAGCTGGAGCCCGACGTCATCTGTACTACAATGCCAGGCGACAAGCGTTCGAGTAGTAGAAGCAGTGGCAGCGCCCCGGGCCGCCCAGAGAGCTCGCGGGCCGCCCAGAAAGCCTCGGCGTTCCTCGACGGCCCCAGGAGGCCCCTGGAGCGCTCGCCGACGGCTGCAGGACCCCCAGATCGCCCTAAGACGGCCTCGCAGACGCCCAACAGGGCCGAAGCCGAATCGACCAGAGCCCCATGACGGCACAACAAAGCATCAGAGACGGCCCCCGAGGACCGCGTGGACGGCGCCAAAAGGCAATATTTGTCCGATTTCCGAAGGTTTCGATGGTTTTCCTGTTCCCGCCACTTCGGGCCTACAACGGCCCAGGATGGCCCCGGAGGCTTCCCAGATCGCCCCTGCGCGGTCCAAGAGGGCCCCAGGAGGGCCCCCAGACGGCCCAAGAAGGCCCGTACACGGCCCAAGGGGGCCCCAAGACGGCCCAAGATAGCTTCCCCCAAGCCAGACACAACCGGGCCCTAGATCCCGCCCGAGCGGGCCCGAAGTGACCTCCGAAACGGCCCGAGACCCCCAAGATGGCCCCAAGATGCCCCAAGAAGGGCCCCAGCAGATGCCGCTGAAGAGGGCCGAAAGCGACCTCCGAGACAGCCCAAGACCCCCAAGATGGCCCCAAGACCTCCCTGCGCGGCTCCCAGCCGAGGCCCGCAAACGTTGCCCCCTCACTCTGACTGTGCCTGAAAACCCTTTTGTGTTTTTGCTAATCGCGCCCAGGCCCAGCGCGATTAGCAAAAACCCATTCTTTGTCACGCTTCCAGGTCAGTGCCCCCGGAGCTCCCCGACTGCTTTTCGGGGTGGCCCCCAGATGTGGCCTGTAAACGTCGGCCTCACACGTGGCTCCCAAACGGGACCCCCAAATGCGGCCCCCACACACAGCCTCCGAAAGTCGCCCCTACCGCCCCAGTAAGCGTGGCCCCCCCAGGCGCCCCCAAACGTGGCCCCCACACACAGCCCCCAACCATTGCCCTCAAACGTGACTGTCACATGTGCCTCCGAAGGTCGCCCCTGCCGCCCCAGAGACGCCCGAGCTGTTCGACTTCGACGAGCTGGTCACCTACGGTGTGCGAGTCCCAGGCTCAGCACGCTGTGGATTTAATCCACGGGTTCACACTAGTCTGTACTACAATTCCGGGCGAAGCGCTTGCGAAAAGGTCAAGCAGTGGCAGCGCCCCGGGCCGCCCAGAGAGCTCGCGGGCCGCCCGGAGAGCCTCCGGGCCGCTGCCCGACGGGCCCGGGAGGCCCCCGGACCGCTCGCGGATTGATCCAGGATTCCCAGATCGTTCCAAGACGGCCTCAGGAGGTCCCGAAGACGGTCCAAGACGGTCCAAGAGTGTATCCGAGACGGTCCAAGAGTGTATCCGGGTTCGCACTAGTCTCTACTACATTGCAGGCACCCGCGCGTGCGAGAAGTGCAGGGTCGGACACGCTTCTCCGGCGCTCCCTGCGGGCCCGGCGGGCTCCCGCGAGCCCCAGCTTGCCTCGGCGCGCTTCCAGGAAGGCTCAAGAGCGCTCCGAGACCCTATCGGAACTCCCCGAGAGGACCCCAAGACGCCCCAAGACGGTCCAAGAGGGCCTCCGAGATGGTCCAAGAGCGCTCGAAGACGCCCAAGGTAGCCTTCAGACGGCCCAAGAGGCGCCCAAATTGTTCCAAGAGGGCTCCAAGAAGAGCCCCGAGAGAGCCCGAACGAGGAGAAATCTTCCAAATCATTTGGGAAAACGTTCATTTTGGCAATTCCCGTGCTTTTCGTCTTCAAAGCGCCCAAGACGACAATACTGTCTCCCAAGATCGTCACCAGAGCGCCTAGGAGACCCCTGGGAGGGCCCCAAGACGGCCCAAGGCGGTCCCAGGACGGCTCCTGAGGCGCCCATGACGGCCCAAGAGGCTCCCATGACAGCCCCAAGAGGGGCCAACGACTACCCGAGAGAGCCGCAAGGCGGTCCGAGGACAGCCCCGGAGCCGCCCAAGACGGTCCCAGACGGCCCCAAGGCAGCCCAAGGGGCACCCAAGACGGCCCAAGAGGGCCCCAAGAGGCTCCCAGGAGTCCGCCAGACGGTCCAACAGGGCCCCGAGAGGTTCTTACAAGGCGGAACTGAAAATAAACCTCGACTTCGAGGTTTATTTTCCGACGCCCTGGGGCGGAGCAATCAACCCTCGCCCAGGACGTTCGTCGACTTGCCACGTCCACGGAATGCCAGTACCTATTTCGAAGTCTTCCCCCCAGCCTCCAGATGGGGCACAGACGTCTCGCCTGGATCGTTCGTGGATCAACGACGCCCACGAAAAATACTCCTTTAATCTCGGAGGCCATTCTCCATGGTCCCGCGGTCGGCCAAAAAGAAAACCCCCGATACCACTCCTCGGCCCGCCACGTCGACGGAAAATAAACACCGCGCTCGAGGTTCATTCTCCGAGGTCCCAGGTGGGCAAAATGGTTCTGGAGAGACGTCTTTCGTCAACCTGCGCTTTGGCGCTTACTCTGGAGTTCTGGGTTTCGTTTCTGCGGTGTTCCGTCGCTACCCTCCCAATGCATGACCCGGGGCGCGGCCACACCCACGGAAAATAAACCCAGACTTGGAGGCTTGTTTTCCGACGCCCCGGGGCGGAGCAATCAACCCTCGCCCAGGACGTTCGTCGGCTCGCCACGTCCACGGAATGCCAGTACCACCTCTGAAGGTTTCCCCCCAGGCTCCGGATGGGGCACAAACGTCTCGCACGGAACGTTCGTGGATCAACGACGCCCACGAAAAAGACTCCGTAACCCCAGAGGCCATTCTCCAGGCTCCCGCGGCCACCTCCATCCACACCGTCCCGTCCAACCTCCCCCCCCGCGAGGCCCTGGAGACGCTCCATTTCTACGTCTTACCATGGCGGGCAGACTCCGCGGCTGGAAGGCCGCGGGTCAGCCCTAGTCTCTCCTACAACGCTGGGATCAGCGCGTGCGAGAAGGGCCAGCAGTGGCAGCGGGCTCTAGGACTGCTTAGCGAGATGCGTCAGGTGAGGGTCGAGCCTACCTTTATCAGTTACAACGCTGGGATCAGCTCGTGCGAGAAATGCAAGCAGTGGCAGCGGGCTCTAGGACTGCTCAGCGAGATGCGTGAGGTGAAGCTCGAGCCCAACTTTATCTATACTACAGTGCAGGGCCCCGCGCGTGCGAAAAACGCGATTCGGACCAAAATGGCGTAGCAGGCCTCTGCGAGCCCCAGCAGGCCTCGGCGCGCTCCGAGCTGCTCCAAGATGGCCCAAAACGGCCCCGGCGCGCTCCGCGACCCGATCGGAATTCCCTGAGAGGACCCCAAGACGCCCCAAGACGGTCCAAGAAGGCCTCCGAGATGGTCCAAGAGCGCTCGAAGACGCCCGAGATAGCCTCCAGACGGCCCAAGAGGCGCCCAAATTGTTCCAAGTGGGCTACAAGAGGAGCCCCGAGAGAGCCCGAGCGAGGACAAATCTTCCAAATCCCTTGGGAAAACGTCCATTTTGACAATTCCCGTGGGTTTCGTCTTCAAAGCGCCCAAGACGACAATACTGTCTCCCAAGATCGTCACCAGAGCGCCCAGGAGGCCCCAGGGAGGGCCCCAAGACGGCCTAAGGCGGTCCCAGGACGGCTCCTGAGGCGCCCATGACGGCCCAAGAGGCTCCCATGACAGCCCCAAAAGGGGCCAAAGACGACCCAAGAGAGCCCTCAGGCGGTCCGAGGACAGCCCCGGAGCCGCCCAAGACGGTCCCAGACGGCCCCAAGACGGCCCAAGGGGCACCCAAGACGGCCCAAGAGGGCCCCAAGAGGCTCCCAGGAGGCCGCCAGACGGCCCAACAGGGCCCCGAGAGGTTCTTAAGGCGGAACAGGAGCCCCAGGCGCGGCCACCACCAGCGGAAAATAAGCGCCGACTTCGAGGTTTCTTTTCCGACGCCCTGGGGCGGAGCAATCAACCCTCGCCCAGCACGTTCGTCGACTCGCCACGTCCACGGAATGCCAGTACCTGTTTCGAAGTCTTCCCCCCAGGCTCCGGATGGGGCACAGACGTCTCGCCCGGATCTTTCGTGGATCAACGACGCCCACGAAAAAGACTCCGTAACCCCAGAGGCCATTCTCCAGGGTCCCGCGGCCACTTCCTCCATCCACACCGTCCCGTCCAACCTCCCCCCTCGCGAGGCCCCGGAGACGCTCCATTTCCACGTCCACACCATGGCGGGCAGACTCCGCGGCTGGAAGGCCGCGGGTCAGCCCTAGTCTCTCCTACATGGCCAGTGGATCTGCGTGCGAGAATGGTTCACGGGACCGAATAGCTCAGGCTGGTCCCAGAGGCGCTCCAGAGGGGTTGCCAGACCGTCCAAGAGCGCTCCAAGACGGCCTCAGTGGGTCCCTAAACGGCCCACGAGGGCCCGAAGCCTTCCGGGGGGGCTCCACGACGATACAAGAGGCCGCAGAGACGCCCCAAGAGGGCCCCGAGCGCACGCCAAAGAGGCACAAATCGTCAAATTCCGATGGGAAAGCGTATATTTTCAGCATGCCCGCCTTGTGTGCTCCTCAGCGGCCCAGGACACGCCAAGAGGCCTCCCAAATCTCCCCAAGAAGACGCCAGCGGCCCCTAAGAGGGCTCCAAGATGGCCCACGAGAGCCCCAAGACAACGCCAGAGAGTCCCGAAACGGCTTCACAGAACCCCAAGACGGCCCCAAGAGAGCTCCGAGGGGGCCCCGAGAGGCTCCCAAGACGGCCTCAGGCAGCCTCAAGAGAGCTCCAAGACGGTCCAAGGCCTCCCGGACGCCCCGTGACGGTCCAAAAAGGTTCGAAAGCGTCCCAAAACGCTCCCAGAGCAGCCCAAACAAGCGTCAGAATGGCCCGAAAAAGACCCCCACGAGAACCACCAAGCAGGCCGGCCCAGAGACGACCACTAAAAGAGCGATCGGTGAAGTACAAAGCTCTTCTCACCAAGGCTCCCAAGAGCGAGACGCAGCGTAGAGAGCCCTCCCAGGCACAGCTCGCAAGAGCGAGCGGTGACTTCGGGACACCCTTCCGACCTCTCACACAGGAGCACGCACGCACAGCACGCAAGCACAATAGATTTCCTGGGCTGTCCCCCGGAAGAGGCTCGGGGGGACAGCCCGGGAACGGCCCCAGAGGCGCCCAAAAAACTTCAAGAGAAAAGGCCCCCCCCAGGAGGCCTCAAGACGGCCCAAGAGGGCCCCAAGAGGCCCCTAGGAGGCCGCAAGACAGCCAACGAGGCCCCAGCAGGCCCCCAGGAGCTCGAAAAGAACCCCCGAGAGGCCCACTAACCGTTGCCAAGGAGACGGCAGCGCCCGCCATCAGGCTTCGAAGAGGCAGCCGGAAAAAAGTCACCAGAGCCCTCCGGGTGACTTTTGTCAAGGCCCCAGGTGCTGTCAAAATTGACAAGCGGCGAGACGTACACCGCAGACCCACCATAGCTGTCTGTGACGCTCCGAAGGCTGTCTAGGCGGAGGTAGAGCGGAAGGCGGACGAAGAGAAGGCAGCGGTCCAAGAGGGCCTCCGAGACGGCCCAAGACCGCTCGAAGACGCTCCAGACGAGCCGCGGCAAACGAAATCATTGATTCTTTTATGGTTTCTGAAAGATTTCCACCTTCTAGCCATTTCGAGCGAAGACAGGCCCAAGACGGCCTTTTCGAACCAAGACTGGCCCAAGATGACGTGGACGAAGTCCACGGGTTCGCCCTAGTCAGCTACAATGCTGGGATCAGCGCGTGCGAGAAGGGCGGGCAGTGGCAGCCGGCGCTTGCGCTGCTGAGCGAGATCTGGGAGGCAAAGTTGCCCGACGTCATCAGCTACAACGCTGGGATCAGCGCGTGCGAGAAGGGAGAGCAGTGGGAGCTGGCTCTGGCGCTGCTGAGCGAGATGCGGGAGGCGAAGCTAGAGCCCGACGTCATCAGCTACAGCGCAGGGATCAGCGCGTGCGAGAAGGGCGGAAAGTGGCAGGCGGCGCTGGCGCTGCTGAGCGAGATGCGGGAGGCGAAGCTGGAGCCCAACGCCATCAGCTACAGCGCTGGAATCAGCGCGTGCGAAAAGGGCGAGCAGTGGCAGCCGGCGCTTGCGCTGCTGAGCGAGATGTGGGAGGCGAAACTGAAGCGCGACGTCATCAGCTACAGCGCTGGGATCAGCGCCTGCGAGAAAGGCGAGCAGTGGCAGCGGGCGCTGGCACTGCTGAGCGAGATGCGGGAGGCGAAGCTGGAGCCCAACGCCATCAGCTACAGCGCTGGGATCAGTGCCTGCGAGAAAGGCGATCAGTGGCAGCGGGCGCTGGCACTGCTGAGCGAGATGTGGAAGGCGAAGCTGAAGCCCGACGTCATCAGCTACAGCGCTGGGATCAGCGCCTGCGAGAAAGGCGAGCAGTGGCAGCGGGCGCTGGCACTGCTGAGCGAGATGCGGGAGGCGAAGCTGGAGCCCAACGCCATCAGCTACAGCGCTGGGATCAGTGCCTGCGAGAAAGGCGAGCAGTGGCAGCGGGCGCTGGCACTGCTGAGCGAGATGTGAGAGGCGCCCAACGCCATCAGCTACAGCGCAGGGATCAGTGCCTGCGAGAAAGGCGAGCAGTGGCAGCGGGCGCTGGCACTGCTGAGCGAGATGTGGGAGGCGAAGCTGAAGCCCGACGTCATCAGCTACAGCGCTGGAATCAACGCGTGCGAGAAGGGTGGGCAATGGCAACAGGCGCTGAGCATGCTCAGAACCATTCGTTTGAGAAAGTTGGACGTTGGCTTCACGGTCTACGGAATTACAGCCAGCATGTGCGAGCAAGGCGGGCAGTGGAGCCAAGTGCTGTCTTTATTCAGGAAGGTGCGTGACCTAGTTACAGGGGAATGATACAATACATGCCGTGCTCGATACATTTGTTCTGTGCAGTTGTATCGCTAGGACCAGCGCGTGGGAGACGTGCGAGCAATGGCTGATGGCTGTGGCGCTGCTCAGCGAGGTGCGGGAGGCGAAGCCGGAGCCATGAAACCAACACGTTTGTTGTGGCGATGCGTGGGATTCGTGTTGCATCGCCGGTGGCGGCTTCTACAGCAAAAGCCATTGCACTTGATGACGCGCCAACTTTTCTGCACAATTTAGGAGGGAAAGAAACACACAGAGACAATTAATCGTCGAGTCCCAGGAAAATATGGGAAAATATGGGAATTGGGCGGGAAGACAGAAACCCAGAAAATGTGGGAAAACATGGGGAATCCTTTTATTTGTGTGTACTTATTTGTGTGTCCCAGGGCCCCTTCAACAGTACCCTCGTGCAGTTTCGCAAGCACACACGCAGCAGAGCGAACCGATCTGCTCCACGAGCCCATACTTTTCCCGCCGCCCCCTGGCCCGCCGGCCCCTGGCCACGCTGGCCCGGTGTGCTTCCTGGCCCTCTTGGCTCCCTTCCCTCCCCCTTTCTCCCCTCCGTGCCCCCCCCCCCCTGCCCGCGTGCTCCTCTGTCCTCGTGCGTCGTGTCTTCTCCCTCCCCCCCCCTGGCTTGGCTCCCTCTCTCCCGCTTTCCCCGTGCCTCCGTCTGTCGGCCGGGTCTGTCTCTTCCCGTCGTCGTCCTTTTCCTCTCCCCCTCTCCCTTCTCGCTCCTCGGCTCGCTTTTTTTTCCCGCCGGTTTCGCTTCTGTCCCTGGCCCGCTTTTCTTTGTCGGCCGGGCCTGCGGTCCGAATAAGAGACGCGTTGGCTGGTAGGGGCACCTTCGTCATGAGAAAGATGGCCCAGCCCTGCGCGCTCCAGGGTTGCGAAAGAAGAAGAAGAAGAGGTCCCCCCGAATCCCTACGGGAAGCGAAGGTCCCCGACGTCCCTCCCCCTCCTTCTCCTCCCCTCTCTTCCCCTTTCCTCCCCATCCCCTCCTCCTCTCTCCTCCCCTCCCCCGACGTCCTCCCCTGACGTCCTCCCCTCCCCTCTTCCCTCCCCTCCTCTCCTCCCCTCCCTCCCCGCCTCGCTCTCCACCCCTCAGCGACACATTGCTCCTCCAGGGCCCCGAGCCCCGACGCCCGCCGTTTTTTTTGTTTGTTGTTGTCGTAAGTGCTGTTGTTGTTGTTGTTGTTGCTGTTGTTGCTGTTGCTGTTGCTGTTGTTGTTGCTGCTGTTATAGTTATTGTTGTTGTCGCTGCTCTTGTTGCGGCTGTTGTTGTTGCTGTTGTAGTGGTTGTTGTTGTTGTTGTTGTTGTTTCTGCAGTTGTTGTTGTTTGCTGTTGTGGTTGTGGTTGTGGTTGTTGTCGTCGTCGTCGTTGTCGTCGTTGCTGTTGTGGTTGTGGTTGTGGTTGTGGTTGTGGTTGTGGTTCTTGTTGTTGTTGCTGCAGTGGTTATGGTTGTGGTTGTTGTGGTTGTGGTTGTGGTTGTGGTTGTGGTTGTGGTTGTGGTTGTGATTGTTGTGATTGTTGTTGTTGTTGTTGTTGTTGTTGTTGTTGTTGTTGTTGTTGTTGTGGTTGTTGTTGTTGTTGTTGTTGTTGTTGTTGTTGTTGTTGTTGTGATTGTTGTTGTTGTTGTTGTTGCGGTGGTTGTTGTTGTTGTTGTTGTTGTTGTTGTTGTTGTTGTTGTTGTTGTTGTTGTTGTTGTTGTGGTTGTGGTTGTTGAACTCTCATTTCTGGAGAATAATTATTGTTGATCCCCCCTGTCCGGTGCCCATTGTTTTTTTTCAATTGAAGTGCTTCCTCCGGGGCTCGCACCCTGTTTTTTGACAGGGAAAGCCTTGCGGATCAGATTGCGTTGTTGGGCCCCGGACTACAACAACAACGGCTCCCGCCTGAGACTTCCTCACAATTTACTCAGGACCCCCGCTCCCGCCTGAGACTTCCTCAAAATTTACTCCGGAAGGGCGCTCCCGCTTCAGACTTTCTGACATTTTACTCAGAAACGGCGCTCCCGCTTGAGACTTCCTTAATCAGGACCCCTGCTCCCGCCCGAGACTTCCTCATAATTTACTCAGGAATGGCGCTCTCGCTTAGGACTTCCTCGCAATTTATTGCAGCATCGCGTTCTCGACGCTCAGGAACCACGCTCGCGCCAAGGACGCCCTCGCAATTTACTTAGGAATCGCGCTCTCGCTTAATACTTCCTCGCAATTTACGCAAAAATCCCGTTTGAATGTCCCGCCCGCCCGACCCGCCCGTCAGGGTCCGCCCGCCCGACCGGCGCTCCCGCCTGAGACGTCCGACAATGTACTCGGGACCCCCGCTCCCGCCCAACTCTTCCTTGAGGAATACGCCCTCGCCTAGGACTTCCTCGAACGTTCACACTCTTACCCTCCTGCCCCTTCCTCCCCATCCAACCTCCCTCCTCCCTCCCCTCTCCCTCATATCCACCCTCCTCCTCCCTCTTCCTCTCTCCCCTCACCCTCCTCCCATAACCCTCCTCCCTCCTCTCTTCGCCCTCCCCTCTCCAGCCTCCTCCTTCCTCCCTCCTCTGTCTCTCTATCTCCAATCGTCCCCCCCCCCCCCTCCTCGCCCCCTCTCTCCTGGCGTGTTCCCCTTTAGCCTCGTCCCTCCCCCTCCCTTCCTCCCACTCTCCCTCGTTCTCCCCCTTCCTCTTCTTGCAGGGCCCGCGCTAATTCCAATGGTGGGCAAAGAGATGCGTGCCCCATCCTCCGAATAATTCCCCGCCCGTTCACACCCGCTTGTCTAAGCCCGCCCGCCCCCGCAAAAAGAAAGAATTCCCCCAGAAGGGGGTACGCTCGAAGACGAAGGGGGCGGGTATCGAGGGCGTGGGTATACACGTTGCATGGCACGCAGTCTTAAAATGATTGTTGTTGTTGTTGTTGTTGTTGTTGTTGTTGTTGTTGTTGTTGTTGTTGTTGTTGTTGTTGTTGTTGTTGTTGTTGTTGTTGTTGTTGTTGTTGTTGTTCGAAGGATTCCTTAGGGAGTCCTCGGATTCCATCGGGATCCTTAGGATTCCATACGAGCGTGGAGCTGTCAGATCGACGCGCCAGCGTGCACATGGTTTCTGCTCGCTGGAATGCGTGGGTTGCCTTAAAGGAATCCTGGGATTCCTGAAGGATTCCTCGGGTTCCCCAGGGATTCTCAAGATTCCCTACGGATTCCTAGGATTCCCTAGGGACTTTTAAGAAGTCCCTAGGGATTCCCATGCTTCCTTAAGGATTCCTAGGATTCCCTAGGGATCCCTAGGATCCCTCAGGTGTTGTTCAGATTCCATAGGGATTCCGAGGATTCCCCAGGGATTCCAAGGGTTCTTGAAGGGTTCTTCTGATTCCATATGGATTCCTAGGATTCCCTAGGGATTCTTAGGATTACATATGGATTCATCGGGTTCCTTAGGGATTTGTAGGATTCCTGAAGGATTCTCTGCGGATTCTTTGATTTCCCTAGAGGTTCTCAGGATTCCGTATGTATTCCTAGGATTCCGTGGGGATTCCGATGATTCCATAGGCATTTCTAGGATTCCTTTAGAATTCCTAGGATGTCATCAAAATTTCCAAGGATTCCCTATGGATTCCTATGATTCAAGAGGGCTTCATCGGATCCCCTGGATTCCTTCAGGAATCCTTAGGGGCTCCTAGGATTCCTCAGGGATTCCTAGGATTCCATAGGGATTCTTCGGATTCGTGAGGGATTCCAAGGATCCCCTAGGGATTCCTATGGATTCCTAGGGATTCCTAGGATTCCCGCGGGATTCCTATGGATTCTTAGGAATTCGTAGGATTCCCGTGTTATTCCGATGGATTCCTTGGGATTCCTAAGGGGTCATAGGATTCCCAGGATTCCCTAAGGATTCCGGGGGTTACCTAGGGGGCGCGCCAGCGCCATGGTTTTCAGTTCCCCGGAATGCGTTGGTTGCCTCAAGGGTCCCGAAGGAATGCCGAAGATTTCTTTTCTCTTTTTTGTCTGGCTGGGTTCTTTGTTCTTTGGGGGGGGCGCAAAGAATTAGGTCCACGGGGTCTGCTGGCAGGGTTCGTACCTTGGGAGGAAGGAGCTCGGGGCTCGCGGGTGATGTTCGTACCTTGTTGTTGTGGTTGTTGTTGTTGTTGTTGTTGTTGTTGTTGTTGTTGTTGTTGTTGTTGCTGTAGTTGTTGTTGTTGTTGTTGTTGTTGTTGTTGTTGTTGTTGTTGTTGTTGTTGTTGTTGTTGTTGTTGTTGTGGTTGTGGTTGTGGTTGTGGTTGTTGTGGTAGTGGTTGTGGTTGTGGTTGTGGTTGTTGTTGTTGTTGTTGTTGTTGTTGTTGTTGTTGTTGTTGTTGTTGTTGTTGTTGTTGTTGTTGTTGTTGCGTGTTTTTTCCTCTACATGCGCGACCCCAGAGTTCCCGATCACCTCCCCGGGGCCAGACCTTTTTCCCCAGGGTGCACTCGGCACGAGAAAAGGGCCCCGGAGGCCGAGGGGGAGGAAGCACGCCCGGACCGAAAGCACCACGCCGTTGGAGGTCCGGGAGCCCTCGATCCGATTCGCTGTCGCAGTCCCGCCGACCCGGCACGGCCCGATGCCCGCGTGGGGCTGTCGCGACTCCCGGCGCGGCCGCTCCGCCTCGACCTCGACTCCGGGGCACGGCCCGATCCGCCGCACGCCTCGACTCGATCCCGTTCTCCGGTTCGATGCCGACCGATCCCGAGGCGCTGTGGCCCCAGCCGAGGGGCACAATGAGTGCCCCCCCCCCCCTGCCACCCAAACTCAGAGTTGACACGCGCGGGGGGGACTGGGGTCGAGGTGCAGCTCCTCAGACCCGCCGCCAGCCTTGAACATTGGGGGGAGGGGGATAGGGAGCCCAGAAAGGACGTACGCGCCCAGCTATGTACATGAACACGGCCCCTCGGTCCGCGAGACCGGCCGCGTTACACGAACATTTGCGCAGTGCGTGCCCTCGAAACCAGCGTGGATTCATGTACGTGTGCGTCCTTCTGTCGCTCCTGAGGGGAGGCGTCGACACGTGAATGGGGCATGAGTGTTCGCTATTTTTTTCCGAGGCCCGGGTTCGATGCCGACTGACCCGAGGCGCTGTGGATCTCTCCGCCCTCCCTCCGACGGCGCCGTCGGCACCCAGCACCTCCCTGGGGAAGCTGGCGGCTCGCTGGCGGGCGCCGCCGCCCGCGAGAGCCGCCCGCCCCGCGCCCCCCCTCCCCTCCTCCTCCGCCTCCTCCTCCGCCTCCTCCGCCTCCTCCTCCTCCGCCTCCTCCGCCTCCTCCTCCTCCTCC